GGGGGTGGGGTTTGGAGGGGGGTGGGGTTGGGCTGGATATCTTTGTAGATGCGGACCACCAAGGGATTGTTAAAAACTAATTGTATTAAATGTCTTTTGATAAGCCTTATGCTCACATTTTTGTGAATGTCTGAAGTATATAGTTTGTGTATATTGACAGAGCTCTTTTATAACTAAAGCAAGTTTAATTTTTTTGTACTAGGAAAATTCAAATATGTTAACTCAATTAGTTTAATGCCTAAATTAAACTAATCGATAGCTTTAGACACTTAAAAGAGCTCTAAATTTGCTTGTACATAAAGGCTTAATTTGAGTTTTCCTTGTTAGGGTCAAGGGTGTCTTCCACTCACCCTTCAACAGCTGCAGGACAGACCCATTAAAACAGCTGTTATTGATAATAAAATATTACAAAACTGCTTTTTTTGTCTGTCTGATGAAGGTCTGTGCTCTTGATTTTTCCCATTCCCATCCACATGCAATGCATTTAAAACACATCTAGAATTCTGGTGGTGTTTGGTATGGTTCTTAAATATGACTAAGAGTTGTTTGACAGTTTCCCTGGTCTGTGTTCCCCCCCATGCTTTCCCTTTGTCACATGACTGTTGATATTGGGTTACTTAGGCTTCCAGAGCCAAGAGGACAGTGTGTTTGGAAAGCAAGTTACAAAATTTAATGTTTCTTGTCTACCTTAAAAGGTTTTAATAATCTTGATAGGCATAAAGCTTTTTATCGATGAATATGAATGCTTAAGGGACTTCTACATGCTGCTGCTTTTAGTCCTGAGACATGTATGTGACAATATATGTTAAGGAGAAACAATTTAATAGTGTGAAGACTGCCTAAGGTTGTACATCCATCTTTTTTAAAGTGTTAGAGCCCAATACTTGAGCCCTCAGACCCTGCCCTATAAGTGTAAGGAGATGAGCTTTATTGTTCTGGGAATCTCAGACTGATTGGGTTTTTTCTATTCCAGATAAATATTTGGTTACAGTGAATAACATGTACTTAACATCTAATTATAGTAGCCAGACACTTTTTAGGTGCTTTGTATATTTACTGAATCTTTAGTACTGTAATGCACCACCATTTTACAGAAGGAAATTCAGGGATGGTTCAAAGAATGAGTAATGGTGGGTTGATAGAATTGAGGAATTGTCAGGTTCCAGGAACTTGAAGCCACATACTGACTTTCTCACTCTTGGCATAGCCTTTCAGGGGTTTTGAGGAAGGCAGAATTAAAAGCACTAGAAGAATTTGGCATTTGGCTTCCCCAAAGTGCGGGGGTTGGGGAGTGGGAAAATCTCCTCAGGGGTGTTGCTGGTGGTGGGGTTTGGAAGATTTTTGGTATTCTTGTATAAAGGCCACTTCCCTCTGTTTCGAAGACTAGAACTTAGGCCACAAAATTGTAAAGCTGATCTTTTAATATGAGCCTGAGTCTAGGAGGAGTTTGTGGCTGGTATACCTATTTCGTTGAAGGAACTAGGTTTACTTAAATCTGAAGTGGAACCTAGAGTTTTCTTTGTGATGTGTCTCTGAAGGGCCCTACATGTCATCCTCAACTTTGTATCACAGGCAGTTTTTTCCTCGGGTTCTAAATATGGAATTCAAGGTGGTGTACATACTTAACAGTTAATGTTCTGCCACTTGACTTTGTTGGTTTTTCTCCTCTCTTGAGGACTTGAGCATACGTGTTGATGTAATCCTACGGAAAGTTTTAGGACCAGCCTTTGTATGGTGTAACTTAATATTTCTTTTCTCTAGTTCTTTTCTAAGGACAGTTTGAATACCTCATGTTCAACCCTACCTTCCTCAAAAGCTAAGCAAACTTGTTCGTTACTTTATTGTGTGTAGTCTCGTAGCATATTAGGTCAGCTAGGTATTAGGGAAAACAATTTGGACAGATAAGCAGATACAGATAAAATCTGTAAAAATGATAGGTGGTAGACCTTTTCAAAAATCTGCATTTTAAAGAGGATATTAGTGACCCAAATTGGTGATAACGTTCTGGTGTTGGGAGTATTTGTTAGCCCTGCACACTTACAAAATGATGCCCTAAAATTATCGTGGTTTTATTTGTACCTGATCATATTAAACGGTAAAGTCACAGGTAACTAGGCATGGTCAGCTATTTGCAAGTGTTATTATTAGTTCATTAACCCTTAATGCTTGTTTGCAAGATGAGTGATAATGCAAAGTGCTTAAATTTCATTAGAGAAAATTTGAAATTTGAGAATTCTAGCTATTTTTCTTTGAATCAGGAAACCACTCATTTTGGCAGTAGTTTTGCAGTACTCTTTGAGTTTTGTGGATGCTTTATGTGAATACCACTGACAATTAATGAACTTATAAAATAGAGAATTTGTGGAACAAGATTGATAGTGTATGTTTGTTTTCTGAATTTTCCTTGTTGCAGTTTGTCCCCTCTGCTACTGGGATTGTATTCTCCAAAAATTTTTGTTTCATTATGGTTGTGAGTAGCTATTTTGAGTTTGTCTTGTCTAATTACTTTTGTGTTTTACCTTGTTTACTTTTGCATACTTAGTGTCATACTTGACTATGTTCTCAGGAGCTCTAATCTAATTATTAATGTCAAAAGAGAAGGAGTGCATGTGATCTGGGTTTTATGGGTTAGAACTTCTGAAGTGTTAAGCTTTTTTTTGGTTGGGTTGGGGGGATGGCTGGCTGTTACTGGAAACCAAACCCTTGACCTTGGAGTTACAAGACTGCTCTAACCAGTGAAGTCTAATTTCGTAGTACTCTTGAACATGTATTTTCCTTTTGGGTCACAACAAGGAATGGGATTTTTTATTTGATTAATGGGTAGAACACCCATTTATGGATTAGTTCAGGAATTGAGTGACTTTTATATGCTTATCAGGCTTTGTTCTAGAGATCAAGGAGCAAAAGTCAGATTTGGTTTCTGTCTTAGAGTCAGACTGTTTCCTTTTATTTTTTTTAAACAAGTACCAAGTTATAAGCTGGGTATAGGTGGGGCTTCTTTGGTAGAAGTGTTCTCTGTCCTCCAGGTCAACACTGGATGATTCTGATAGGTTTGCTGGAGAAGACTCAGACAAGGCTTGGTGTTCCTTTCATTTTCCTCTTTGGTATTAACTTTCTGACCAGAATCCTGGCCACTGGAGGAAAGGCTAGGTTGTGGTCGTACCGTTTCCCAGGGTACCTGGAATTGTTTCTTCAGTTGCGGCAGCTGTGTAAATCATTTTTGTTTTATCTGTAAAATTAAAAATGGTCAAAGGTGTGGAGGGAGAACAACAGTAATACAAGGCTTGCTCATTCTGAAAAATACAAAAGTGCTAGTTTACCCCCAAGGGTATGCTATATATGTATTTTCTGTCTTTATCATCTCCTCTTCCATGATTTACTCTTAAATTCTGGGGAAAGATTTGCTTTACTCAGTCTCCCCTCATGGTAGTAGTAGTAGTAGTAAAAGGCCTAATAAATTAGAATATCGAGTCTTTATTGTCTCACCTCCCACTTCTTTTTACATGCAGTAAAACAATGGGGGAGCTGGGTCTATGCAAGCAAAGACAACTTGCATTCTGGGAGTGAGGAGGAAGGGCAGGGAGGAAAAGAGTTTTAGGGAAGTCTTACTCGGAGAGTTCCCAAACGCTTTTCCCTCCCCTTCTCCCATGCATTGGTTTACCCCCTTTCCTGCCCGTGTAGATGTGGTGAGGAGCTTAGAAGACAGGATCAGGGTTCATCTTTTGTGTTCTCCCATCTCGGTAGAGAGTTCAGGGGTCAAAAGAACAAAAACTTTTGATACATTCTTCATCCTGAGAATAGCTGCTTGGGAGTATTAGTTCCAAAGAGAGAAGTTGCTTTGACTTACCTGGACTTTTGCTACTGGGTTCTCTGAGGTGTATTGTGAAGGCAGTTCTTTTTAGGTCTTGGAAACTAAAGATTCAGAGTATTGCCCTTTGAGGGCATTCCAGGCCGTTCTGGGACTAAAAATCTCAAACCTGGGAACCTCGTTGATTGTTCACCTACAAATGTCTCATTCATTCGTTCATTTATTTTTTAGTTATTTTTGGTAAGAGGGTGGGAACTTCACTGGGTAACATCTTTTTAGTTGGTCTTAGGTAAGCATCAGACTAGACTTCCATAGTTCCACTGTGGTTTTGAACCAAAGTTTATAAGTGCTTTTGGAGTATGGTCAGTCATCTATTGGTTTCTTTCTGACTGCTGGATAATCAAGATGGTATCTTAGCTAACTGCCAAGAGAATTTGCGCTTGCTAGTATTACATAATGAATTCATAACACACACGCTGTAGGGAAAATAGTGTGTTTTTCCTGGGGTGTAAATCACAATTCCCAAGGTCTAGCAAAAGTCTTGAAGGGGGGTCCTCAATTAAGTTAATGGGAAATCAGGCAGTTGAAGGATTTGGGTAAGTGATTAGGAAGAATAAAAAGGTAATGTGGGGTTAAAGTGCACTTTGAGGAGGGGACTCTGTTCTTGAGGTTTGATTATATTTTGAAGAAAATGAAATACCATTTTAGAAAAGGTGCTATATTTGTGCAGTTATCAGATTAAAGTATAAATCATTAAGTTTATTGTGGTAGCCACTATTTAAGTAGCTTATGCTTAAAATTGGTTTACTGTATAATCAGAGTTGAATCCTTTTTTTGATTTTGCGTTTTCACTTGTATGGGGTGCCAGTGGTGGTGCTGGGTTTCTGACTTGATTTCAGGACTTGAGAACCTAGTTCTAAAAAACACTTCCTGAATGCATGTGAGGAGAGGCCTTTCACACAGCTAATATCTTAGAACTGTCTAATGTCTGAGGCAGCTATACTGAGGAAATGGTCTCCCACTTAGACAAAGCAGCCAAAATTGTCTCAGTCCTATGAGGCAAACTATCTGAAGCTTGCTTTATTATACCATCTAAAAGGCAGAAACAGTGCAGTAAATGGAAGTAGCCTTGGTTCTTTAGGGTTTCTTGTACACTTTTGGTGCTGTCTGGTTTCTAATCATTTGATAAGAATTAAAGCCCCATCCAAAAATATCCTGCTACATACTTGTTTGTGGGTAGGCTCAGGTCCAATGTAGGAGCATAACTCAAAGGGGGGATGATTGAATATTCACCCTTTTGGAGCTTGATTTTCTCATAGCACCGAAAGATGGCGATGATGAGGAGCCCTTCTACAAGCTGGAAGATCATATAGAGAAGAGGAAAGAAGAAAAGTGGTCCAATGACTTCAGGGGGAAAGGTCACGTTGAGGATGGTGGAACAGAGTTGAACATTTTGGCATCCAGTCTCCATGCTGACAGTGCGTCTGCACCTGTATAAGTGAAAAAACCAACCCCGTATGTACTCATAGAAGGGACGTGAGGGAGTAACTTTGCTTGCCCTTCCCCTCCTTCCCGCTTGGCCTACTGGATAGTCCAGCATAGGAAGATGGAAGGGAGCCAGGTGTGTGGAGTGCACATGGGTTCAGGAAAAGTCTAGTACCCCTGTCTCATAACACTAATCTGGCTGTGAGGAGGATGGTGACTAGTAGGTTCATGTCAGGAAGTTTTTATGAGAGCTTTTTGAATAGTTTGGAAATGAGTGATTTGTCTGCTTTTGTAGGATTGCCAAATTAAAATTTAGAGAAATATCTGGCTGGTGAGGAATGAAAGAAAGGTGTGAGCCAGTATCATTCATTTGCTTATAGGACAAATACAGTAGAAAATATAGTAGAAATAGTTTGTTTCAACATACAGTGGAAAATAGTCTGCCTGAAATGTCCAGGATCTTGTCCTGTTGCTAAATTTCTGCCTTAGACCTCTAACACGAAAACATGCAATGACTAAAAACAAAAGCCTGATCTTGATAGCCTTACTATCTATGGAACACATTCTCTTGGTTTCGTTTTCCATTTTATGGCTTGAAGAGTGGGATGTTTACATTTAATGAATGCTCATTTAATTCATTGATTGCACCTTAGCATATTAAAACAGTTGTTACCTATTTTTTTAAAAAAAGACAGCACATTCATTAGCAAGTCTACTGTGATGGCACTTTGTATTGTGGCTGTTTATTATGGTCTGTTTTAGTGAGAGTTAACATGACTGAGTGGTCATTGGCAACTTTAGTACTTACTATATCATGTATTATATCCTATAGTAATTTGTTCAGCTTTTTGGAGGGAGGGGTGCTATTAATGTTTAGACTCCTTTGTAAGTATATGTCTACTATGGCTGGAAGAGGAAAAGTCCTCCACTACTCTGTATAGACAGGGTGTTTGATGTTCCCACACCATGTCCTCAAACTGTTCCCCCAAAGTAGCAGCTGTGTTTGTCAATTGGACTGTAGCTGAGGTCCACAGCTCTTTCAGCTCTGAGTGCCACATAATAGAGCTGTCACCCAACAGTGTTCTTGTTGGGACAAAAGCCTAGGCAGAAAAGGAGGAAAAGTGGGAAAAGGAAGAGTATAATCAACGTCTGTCACAAAGACGTGAAGCTATCCTGGTGCCATTAAGTATCAGAGAGTTGGGCTGGAGATAGAACCTAGGCTCTGGAGGGGGGTACATTGCCATCAGCTATTGCTGTTTTGATTAGATGCCTTTGGTATCTGGATTTAATTTATGTTTCTAACCCTTTTAATACTTTCTCCCCTCAATATTTCTCCCAGTCCAAAGTTTCTTGTTCAGTTAGTGCATTTGAACATAATGCTAGGAAAATACCTTGCCCAGATCTTCGGTTCCTGTCCCCTTACCATTATCCTGAGAGACCTGGACAAGAATGAAGCCCATGAGACAGTGGGACCTAAAGTAATACCTACCGTCCGTTAAGGCGAAAGAGAAAGGAGAGAATGTAGCCCAGCAGGAAGCCGATAAAAGGCATCAGCGAGGAGGTGGCCAGCAAGTGCGGTGTCATGACAAACATGATGCTTTTGCCCACATTGATGGCGGAGAGGACTGTGATGGCCACAGAAGACAAGGCGACGGTGATTGTCCCTCCCTAGGCACGAGGATAAGAGGAAAAGGCAATTAGGGTGGGGAATGGGGAGAAGTGTGGAAGCACAGGTGGGGTATTGGAGGTGGAAAACACTTTAATAAAAAATTAGTATTTGAAGTGGAAGGGAATATAAAAGACCTATGTCTTCTTTTTAGATTTCTTATTAGCTAGGAAGCTTGGAGGACAGAAAACTGATTAATACTTTGATAACTGAAAACAGTCAAGTACAACTTTTACTTTTTGGGGGTATCCAAATCCACAATCTTGGCGTTATAAGGCTGTGCTCTACTAATCAACTGATCAGCTCACAACTTTCACTTTTGACACATCTCTGGGTAGCAGATTTTCAGTGAAGTGCTGTAGCTCTGAAGGAGTGAGATTGTTCAGGCCTCCTGCAAAGTGGATATTGTAAATTAAAAGTTTTAAAGTGATTATTTTTGGAGCTGGGATACACATTCCTACAATATTGTCATTGTTCCGAATATTTTGGAACTCATCAGAACTTCTACTTGTCTCAAACACCTCTACTACAGGTAGGGGCTTCATCTGTTTTAGGATGAACTTGACTTCTGGAAATTGCCAAGACTTCATTTGAAGCGAAGCTGGTAAACAGGGTGGATGATCAAGCCAAGTAATGTAGTTTTATATCCAAAGTGATGTGTAACCGTTAAGGGACAAGCTTACTTTCTTTTTTTTTTTTTTTTTTTTTTTTTTTTTTTTTTTTTTTTTTTT